AAATCAATACCCAGAATGATATTATCATTTATGTTAGCAGTTACAAACCTCCATTTTGATTTTAACTTTCCTATTTCGATAGGTATCTCGTCTGTATATCTAGCATCAATCTTAGAGTTCTTTCCGGCTCCTCGTAAAACTAAATGTTCATTTAGTTTAATTGTTGACTGCAAAAGTGGTAAAATTGAAGTACTCAAAACAGATATTTGAGCAGCACTATCTACTACAGCCTTAAATGTTTTCCCTAAAACTTTCATCTCAATGAACAAGGTTTTAGATTTTTTGTTTTTATCGTATGAAAAAATTTCTTGAATCGAAAACTTCTGTTCTTGGTCAGACATTTCTGTTGGTGGTTGGCCTGTATCATCTGAAAAGGTCAAGGATTGGCCTACATCCTTGGCCCTGAGTCGTTTAAAGCTTTTGGTGATGGAGATCTATTACGATAAGGAGAACTGTTTCTTGGTTTTTTGCAATTCCTACTAAAATGACCTTCCTCTCCGCAATTGTAGCAATTACCTCTTGCAGGGCTATTGTATCTTCTTTGTGGCGAAAAAGCTCGATCTGATCTCTTTGGTGACCTTGACCTCATATTCTGGCTAACTATGCTTAATACTTTTTTCACCATAATCTTTGTTTCTAATAAATCTACTTCTGTCTTCTGTAATCTTTTCTCGAAAATATTCATCTTATTTGCTCCTTCTTCAGACTTCATGAGTGCACGTACTGATGTTTCCTGTATATCTTCATTTTCATCATTTTGTTCCATAAAAGAAACCCTTTTAATTTCTGTTCTTCTTGTACTCATTATAACTTTTTGATTTGCTACTGCACTTCGTACATGTTGTACCGCTTGATCTAGAGAATCTGGATTTTTGTCCATAGCAGTCAAAGCTGCACGCTTATCTACAAAACCTTTAAGAAAAGCATCTGTTGCCAAAGTCTGTACAAACCTATCTGGTGTGTCTGGATAGCCATCTGTAGCCAGCTCTTGTGCTCTTTCTGCAAATTCCTCCAAAGACTCTTCTTGGTCTTGTTTTAAATCCTGCAACAGTCTTCTCACAATGTGTGGTGGTTCCTTTCTGCCAAAACGCTCTTCCATCTTTTTACATAAGCTTTCATAATTAGTTTGTACTAACTTCGGTCTCGAGCTATAAAATTTTAAGGCTTTATCTCGCAAACATTCTATCAATTTGTATAGTCTTTGCTCACTTTGCCACTTATATCTATCAGCTATAGTGCTAAATTGTAAATAATAAGGACGCCAGTCATTTTTGCCATCATATGTTGACATCTTTGGTGCTGTGGGACCAACATAATCTGAGTTTTTATGATCATTAGCATTATATTTCCCTTTCAATAATTGAACCGGACCACTCTTTTCCTCTTTATCTGCTATGACTTTTTCTACTTTAATCAAAGTTTCTTTTTGTTGTAGTTGAGCCTGAATTTTTTTTGAATATTCATGTATATCTTTTATTTCTTCATTTTGTGATTTAATCATTTCCTTCATTTGCTCAATTTGTTCTTCTTTCTGTTTTGTGTAGACGTCTCTTTGTTGTTCAAAAATAAGCCTTTGTTCTTCTAGATGTGCTTTACTCTGTTCAGAAATTTTCTCTATTTTTGTTTGTAATGTCTCTGCCATATCATCTCTTGACTTTTCTACCGACAATATTTTATGACGTAGTGACTCAATAGTATTTTGCAAGATCTCTTGACCTTCATCTGCATCTTCTGGGTCTTCTAAACAAACCAAATAAAAATGCCACTTACAGAAAATGTCACAAATTCTGAACAGTTAAACCAGGCATACAATGAATTTGAAGATACATTCACAAATATTCTAAACAAACATGCACCGATCAAAACAAGACAACCAAGAAAACAACAATTACCGTGCATGAATAGTGAACTTAGAAAAGCTGTATATCGCAAACACATGCTGTACACACAATTTACAAAGCATAAAGATTCAAAAACATGGGAAAAATATAGAAAACAGCAAAAACAAAAACAAAACTTAAAAAAGTATCCATGAAAAATTATTTTTTAGAACGTTGTTCAGGTGGGGCAAAAAACAGTAACTTTTGGACAACTTTAAAGCCGTTTTCCTCAAAAAAATGTCACTCAGGGGAACAAAACATTGTTTTATGTGAAAACAGCAAAATCATAAACAACACCAAAGATGTTTCAGAACACTTTAACACATTTTTTTCGACAGTTGCAGACAAGATTGGTAGTGAGGTGAGATGATATACGACCCACCAACTCATGCCAGTATCTTGCAAATAAAAGATCAAAACTGCACTAACACAAAATTTGATTTTCAGAAAACAACAACAGAAAAAGTAGCAAAAATTATTTACAAAATTAACATTAAAAAAGCTAATGGAGTAGATGGCAAACCAGCAAAAGTAGTGAAACATTGTAAACCAATAATTGTGCCACAGTAAACAACACTTATAAATCTATCTGTAGAAACTGGAGTATTTCCTGATAGACTCAAGCAGGCTCAAGTAACACCACTGCACAAGAAAAAAAACCAACTTGACAAAGCCAATTATAGGCCTGTCAGCGTTCTACCAATTTTTTCTAATATTTATGAAAAGGTTTTTGAAACTCAACTTGGTGATTTTTTTGAAATTATTTTTCATCCCTATCTGTGTGCTTTTAGACGTGGCCATGGATGTCAGACCACACTGTTACGACTGCTAGAAGATTGCCGTACAGCATTAGACAAAAACCAGTATATAGCTGCTGTTTTAATGGACCTTTCAAAGGCTTTTGATTGCCTACCACATGAAATCCTGCTTGATAAATTATCAGCACATGGTGTCTCTGTTCATTCTATTTCACTACTAAAATCTTATCTGACAAACAGGAAACAACAAATTAAAATAAATAGTATTCTTAGCAGTTGGGCTGACATTCATAAGGGGGTTCCCCAGGGTTCTATCCTGGGCCCCCTACTATTCAATGTTTTTATCAATGATATATTCTTATTTATAAAAAATGGAACTCTGTATAATTATGCAGATGACAATACTTTTTCATACTGTAATCCTGATTATGATGTTTTTCCGACAAGCAATAAAAGCAAACAATGGGCAGCATAAAAATAAGTAGTAGAGTAAATTATTTTCTTACGTTCTGTTTACTTGTTACACAAAATGTGCAAGGTTGATGAAAATAACATGCAAGTATTTTTTACAATGTTTAAAATATATAAATTAGACGTACATCCTCGTGGGAGATGGGATACCACTTTTTGTATACGTTGCACATGATTGTGAAGATACCTTTAGGTAAACAAACCTAGAGGTAGGGTCAATTTCCTCAGAGTTTGTTTCACTCGCAGGGACGAAATTAGGGAGTTGTTTACAAAACCTATTGTAAATTGAATATTCCAGATCTTTTTATTATACTGGTATTTCCATAAGTCAAAATATATTTGAGCACAATAAGTTGCAGTGGAAGTTTACCTGGTTATTTGCATCGAAAAAATGTGGGGGTGGGTTTTTTTTTATCTGAAAGACAATACATAAATTCAATACCAATATAATTTTGCTTATATATTTTTGGTTGCGTATAATTTTGTCATGTGTTCGAAAATGCACAAAAATGTTGATAAAAATCTAAACTACAGATATGAATCTCTGATACTAGTACTGACGATTTTTGTATATATTAAAGTACATGCATTGTAGTACATGAGTATTTACAACTTTTGTGGAAAGATTCAAAAATGGAGTAAAACATCGATGTGCATTTCATTCGTTCCAATTGGAAGAATTACTCATATTTCATTTGTGGCAACAGAAGTCCTTTAGTTGCGCTAAAATTAACTATTTCATTTGCGCCATTCAAATTTAATAAGTAATTTGTAACCGGTAACTTTTAATGTAAAACTTGTTTTATGGAGTGAAAGAGTTATATACTGTTCTGTGTGTTTTTTACGCGTAGATAAATGTTTAATTTTGAGGTATTTTAGATGAGATGAGGTTAATCTCGTACGTCATACCATGGAAGTAATATTTAATTTACTTCCATGGTCATACATAAACAAACAAGGAGAAAAAAATCTGTAGATACACCCATGAGGGCGTTAGATCACTTGGCAATGGGTGTATCTTATTTACACCAAGTTATTATGGATAATGCAAATGATAAATTTCAATAATTTGGGATGTGGATTTTCATTAATTTTACCTTATATGGAGGAAAAACATGATAGTGCAGGATACCCAATTACATTAAATGGCATTTCGGTGTTAATTTGAATGGTTATGCAGGTTTTAGAAGTCATCATTAAAACGAATCTCAAGACCGTTATATTTGTTTTATAAGCATATAATTTATAATTAAAAACAACATATCTAAAAACAAAACTGTTTATTATGTACGATTCTCTCCCTAGCCCCACTCTAAATTAATGTTTCGTATTTTTTTTCAATTTTGTAGAAAAATTGGTCATTAATATTTTGTTTTATTATTTCGATTGCTTTACAAGTCCAAGTAGGCGTAGCAATACTAATAACAAGTTCTGAGGTCGAATTTAATGCACTGGTGTAGGCTCCTCCCATTATTTGATTTCCTATTACAAGCAATAAACAAGTGTATAGTATAGTTGAATAACATTAAAATCACCCTTTTAAATTATGAAGCTTTATACAACAGCAGTTATTTTCATCTACGATCAAAGGAAAACATATCATTCCTATCACAATACAATTAAATACAATATTCCATTTTTACTTTATTTTGACACTTTCTGTAGCAACAAAAATATGCAACACTCACCGACAGAAAGTCTTTTTTTTCTAACTCTTATCAAATAATGTCGAATTTATTTTTCATTACATCAGTTAGTGAAAGAGGAAGGAAATTGCTTACTTCTTACTTGGTACATGTCAAAAGAATTCACCTCAAAAATTAGCACAAAACACAGTTAAATCTTTTGAGGGGCCTGTTTTCTTTGGTATGGTAAATTTTAGCAAACTTACCTTCTATGTATATTAAGATTTTCTGCAAAGATACTTTGGGCTGTAGATATATAAACTGTTGTCTACCTGGTTGAAATGCACGGATATATTTAGAAAGGTATAACGGAAGTATTGATGACGGGACAAGTTATCTCCCTTCCAAAGTTTAACTTATTTATAAAATGCTATATATTATCATTTACTATGTGTCACTGAATTGGTTTCATTCATATTTCTACTGACCGGTGCAAGAACACATAAATAATCAGAAAAAAAATATATATTAATTATGCATGATTGCGGATATTAATGACCCATCAATCTGAATCTGTAGCGATAATAACCATTAATTAGTTAAGGTTCATCAGCAGTGTATACAAAGCTCGATACAAAGTGCAGATCCAGATAGTTCATTTTAGTACTACTGCAGCAGAGTAAATGATGTTTACGTTTTTTATACAAAATAATTGAATTGAATGTATGTTTTAACACTAAAGTACAAATATTTGCTATTAAAGCAACATGACCTCGAATATCAGATGAAATTGACAAATACGGCCGGTTTTTTCAACTAGATTTATTTTAAGTACAGACACCCCTGTGCGCCTGGAAAAGTTTTAAGGCATGGCAGGAACTGAATACATAAATTTTAAATGCATTTTATGTTTCAGAAAATTAGATAAATTTCCTAATTTTGATATTTCATTTCTTCCGTTCCCACAGAAGGTTCCAAAAAAAGTTTGGAAAATGTTTAAGATGTTCCGCGATGTAATAATTGAAGTGTGGAGTATTGATTAATATGAACAACGATAGAGGAACAATAGATATCTGAACAACAATAGGTGAAACGAGTGGACCATATCAAATGAAATTAAGGTGTTTGAATCGATTTACGAGATTAGACCTAAATACTCGCCAAAATTGTATTGTTCTTGGCCAAACACTATTACGTTACAGTATTTATTTCAATTAACGTGTGTTTTACTTTTCAAGAAATTGTATAATTACATAAAATCTGCATAGTCTATCAGATCACATATTATTATTTAATGTTGTGTGTTTTCTTATTATGAATTTTATGTATTGTCCACTGCTGTGTATCATTTATCATGTTGTAAATATGTTTTCGGTGCTATAGCATATTAAGTGCTTTCTGCAATAAAGTATTCATTTAATTATTCATTCGCTCATTTAAAATTATCGTATGATAAAATCTAATAATATGAACGATGCATATGTATTTTGTAGTAATGAAATGAACAATTTCAATAAGAATAGTTGCTAATAAAGTAGATTTTCTTTATAAATGAATAAATTGTCTGTCTTCAAACTTTTTTTATGTAAGGATATATATATTTATCAAACTCAGCTTAGATATCAGAATTAAAATTGTGTATGCCTGACGCGAGTTTCATCTTCAAAATACTAATCAGTGACGCTCGAAAAGAATTTTAAAAGACCAGATAAAGTAAGAAGTTGAAGAGCATTGAGGACACCATATTTCGAAAGGATTTGCCAAATGAAGCTAAGGTATTCTATTCCTGGTTAGAAAAGCCTTAGTATTTCATATTATATTAGTAGTCGTTAAAAAGAGAGGCGAAAGATACCAAAGGGACATTCAAACTCATAAGTCGAAAATAAACTGACAACGCCATGGCTAAAAAAAGAAAAGGACAAACAGATAAACAACAGTACACAAAACACAACATAGAAGACCAAAGACTGAGCAACACGAACCCCACCAGAAACTGGGGGTGATCTCAGGTGCTCCAGGCTTTTGTCGTCAAGGTTTATTTCCAACCGACCCTCATTGTCAATTTCTAGATGTTATTCAAGATATGATAACATAAACGGTACCAATTTTTCTGCACCAGATGCGCATTTCGACAATCAATGTCTCTTCAGTGATGCTCGAGGTCAAAATATTTGAAAATTCAAAGCTTATTAAAAAGATGAAGAGCTATAAACCAAAAAGGTCTAAAAAAGGAAAGCCAAAGCAGGGCAAGGAATCAGAGCTTTGCATGAGGGAGATACATTTCTTAATTTTAAATAATTTCAAAAAATTTGTAACAGGAAATTTCAATAACACAAAATCCGTAATTTCTAAGTTAGACTTAACTCTATCTGTTGTATCCTTATCTCAAGTTAGATGGGAGAGATGCGTTCAACATAGTAACCAAATTTTGAATTATTTAGTGAGAGAACATCATCGATATAGCGGAAAGTTGAAATTAAATGATACTGTTAACTTTTTTCTTTCTTCTTAAGAGGTTTCTGTATGAAGTCAGCCTCGTGTGAATAAAGGAACAAGTCGACAAGAAGAAGAGCACAGTTGGTTCACATGGGAATGCCGATTGTTTGTTGAAAAACACGTCCTTCAAACGTAATAAATATGTCAACCAAGGAATCAAGCATCTTGATATCAGTTTCAGAGTATTTTATAATCAGAGTGATTTCCTACAAAGTACGATTTATCCCTCCCTAAGACAAGATACATGTATCTACGTTTGACCATTCTTTTTTGTGTAACAAAGCAGGACCATCTCTTTCAATTTGTCTTTTAGTTTGGAATGGGGAATACTTGTGTAAAGTGTAGAGAAGTCAAATGTTTAAATACTATTGCAAGATGAAAGAGTCTTAGATTGTATGTACTCTAACTAAAAGATCTTTGGAATTTTTTGAAGTCATGGTTCAGAACAAACATGTGCAATATTAGCTCTTCTGAACTTTCCACCGATATAAATCAGTGTACAGATAAAAAATTTGAAAACTTCCTCATTTTTTTACAGTACCTGGTAATCCTGACAACACTGACTAAAGAGTGAATTCTGGACAGTCATAGGTTTGTTTTCTGTTCTTTTTGGGAATTTATATTTTTTTATTACTGCATTACTAACGTTTGCCCATCACATCCTTTTAATCATATTGATATAAGTGAGTTTGTCAAATACTCCATAAATCTTTTTTCAAAAATATTAACATCTATTCTATCCACAAAGTCCTGATTTTTGTTTAAAATGCCTCTCTAGGGCCGTGTGAATCAAATGTAGAGTTCAAACAATCAACGTTCCTCCAATCATACAGTAATATAAACATGTTTGGCGTTTGTACTCTTCCCACAAATATTCATAATTCTAAAGTTAAAGTCGGATTGAGAGAGTTAGTATAACTTGGATTCTTTAAAAAGAATAGCCAACGTGGAAACAAATATCTTGTGCTAGAAAGGGACAAATCCATCTTTGTAGAAAAGACATTACATTTGTGCGTAAAACATATTTTGTTTTAGCTTTTCAGTTTATTACCAAGGTTTAAAAAGAATTAAGTTTGCCCTCCAACACAATAAGTAACAGCCGTATATGTCTGTCCACATAAAATTGAAATTGTCCTCCTGTATGTTGTTTTTCAATTAAAAAAGATAAATCGCATAACCTTAGTAGAAATCAATTTTGACTTCCAGTGCGTATACATGACAGAAATACAATGCATGTATGTATATATTTCCATGATACAGCTATAAGGTGGAAACCATTCTAATTATAAAAATAAGAAGATGTGGTATGATTGCCAATGAGACAACTCTCCACAAGAGACCAAATGACACAGAAATAAACAATTATAGGTCACCGTACGGCCTTCAACAATGAGCAAAGCCCATCCATGCAACACAAAATGCGAGACAAAGGAAGGGTCTCACTAATTAGCGACAATAAGCGTAAAGAAGCAACAAGAAGAAGAAAAATTAGCGACAAGAAGAATAATTTAGCGACAAGAAGTATAATTTAGTGACAAGAAAACAAATTTAGCGTAAAAAAATCTTAATATTGATTATTTTACGTGTAATTAAATAAATATTGAAACATACATCAAATTGTCTTTTTTTAATATACAAGAAACAAGAGAATAAACTTTTAAAGAGTTTTTTTTTCGTTATCAAGGATATTTTTAAGATAATATATTTACAGTTTACAGGATAGTGTAAAGATGAATGAATCAATATTTATGTAGAGTCGGCATGGTTGATATATGAAAGATCCAAACCAAATTATAAGATAATATAATCTTGATTTATTTCAGACTCAAAAAGGTCAATATACATATATATATATATAAATACATGACACAAATGTTTCTGTCTAAACAGGATGAAAGGTTCAAATATTTACATTATTAATCATAGTTAAAAATCAAAAGGTAAACATGCGTGTTTGGATTAAAAAAAAAGGGGAGGGGGGGGTAATTTCTTTATTTTTTTAAACTTTTAATTGCCATTTTCTAATTTTTATGGACCCTTAGTATAACCAGATGATTTATTTTCTGTAAATCTATTGTTTTAATAGTAAATGAACTTTTTTGTCGCTTATTTTTTTACTTGTCGCTAATATTTTTCTTCTTGTCGCTTCTTGACGCTTCTTGTCGCTTATTGTCACTAATTAGTGAGACCGCAAAGGGATTATAGAACGGTGGCGTCGATTTTTTATTTCAAAAGTGGAAGACCTAGATGCTTCATACATTATATACAGATGCTTTATTCTGAGAAGTTTCCGTTTGTCGTATGTCAACTGTCCATGTCCTTATTTCCATTGGTAAGCGACTGCAAACTATAGTTTATTTGTCACGTGAAACTTTTATATGAGTAATAGCATAACTATATTTGGTATACTGGTTACTTGCAAGTCCTCATATTCAATAAGACAGGGTTCACCTTACCTTAACCTTATTTCATAGATCAGTGTTCAATGTTTAATATTCTTGGCCAAGTCCGTATCTCGGATATTTTGTATATGAAATGATGTTAAAGTGTTCATGCATGTTAGTCTGGCAGGTTTCATCTGATCTTGACTCTTTTCATGGTTCATCGGTAAATGTTAAGTTTCGTAATTTTGTCTTTTTCTCAGCTGTTTTAAGCAATATGTAAATTATATTTGGTGTAAAGAATAATTATAAGGTGTACATGTCTGTAGGGTTCATCTGACCTTGTCACCTTTTCGACATGGTTTATTTGTGAATGCAAAGTTTTTTCTGTTTCTCAGATACTATATATGAATATATATATATTCAGTGTGTGGAAGGATTGCAAAGTGTACATGCATATCTGGCACGGTCATCTGACCTTGACTTCATTTTTATGGTTCCTCGGTCAACGTTTAATTCCATGTTTACATAAGTTTCTCAGATACTTTGATCAATATGTAAACATTATTTAGTGTATAGACTAATCGTAGGGTGTACATGTCTGTCTGGTACTTGACCTTATTTTCGTCAATTGGTCAATTTGAAGTTTTTTGTTGTTATGTCCGTCTCTCAAATAGTATAAGCAATATTTGGTGTATGGAATGATTGTATGGTGTACATGCCATTTAGCAGATTTAGTCTGCTCTTAATCTCATTTCCACGGATAATTGATAACGATAAGTTTATGTGATACTAGTCATGAGTAGTAAACAAAATTTCTTAAAAAGCTGTCAGCATAAATTTAATCATGAACAGTAAAACAGGCGAGACATATCCGAGTGTGCACTCTTGTTCTTTTGCTGCAAAACATTTTTAACTGCTCTACAATAATGATATGTGCAACCAGTTGTAATCGCGACTTTGAACTCCTATAATTCAGTGGTCCGATTTAAGTGTGTTGATGACATCTTATTTAGTAGCTGTATATGCTATTTGAAATGCTTTTTGGTGTGTGCAGTATACCGATAATTGCCACCTATACTCGATAATGCATTGAAGTGGAGTCAAGCTGAAGAATCAAATGATGTAGAGAGTAGATGATGATAGTGAATTATGCCCATTGTATCGTTAACATTTCAACAATTGACGGTAAACAGCTATAGATCACAACTTCTTCCTACATCCACCAGATTTACATATTTTTTCCATAATCAAGCTTAGATATCATCACATTACAGAGTAAAATTCTCATGAAAACATTCTCTTGCCAAGAAAAGTTTGTAGCCAGCCTGGCCTGTAAAAAATATGCTTCGTGACAAAAAGCAATTTACCATATTGAATTACAAATGAAATGTTGTCCTGCAATCTACATAAAAAAAGGAAGTGACAACAGTTTCAATAATTCATACAAAATAAGTGTTATGAGTTTCAATGTATAAACTGAGTTATTTCCCCTGTAAAGAAAGAAGATGATGTTTATTTTTGGTCTTGTTTTCTTTCAACTGATGATTATGGCTACAGCAGACTGCAGTCCAAAACTTGGTAGGTTCATTATCTAAAGTTTAAGATATTATATCTTAAATTACACACATAATCAACATTTTCTGTAATTGAACGTTTTATATGTCATTTTGTTTACATTAATTCTAAGACATTTTATTTCTAAAATAAAAAATGCCTGTTGGAAGAAGACTTTTTGAGTCACGGTTGTCAGTCAACAGTATTTTCATCTCATAATCTTTTGTATTTTTAGATAATGCAGTAGTTGAAGACCTTTTGACAATGTTAATTAAATATAAAGGAGGATCTGGTAGGTTATTTAAATAAATGATTATTTTACAGTAGCTGGCCTTTGAACAAAAAATGGACTCTAGATTTTGTAAAGTATAAGGGAAATACTTAAATACTTTATCATTACTCCCATAATATTTCCAAAGTCAAGGAGTGCAGATGGGAGAAACGATGGGATTTTTATTATTCCTGACGGCTGCACTACTTGGAAACGACAGCAAAAAAATTACCAGGATATAGTATAGACATTCAAAATTAAATGTAGGATTTCAGCGAGAATTCATTCAAAAAGGGGACCTTTAATCTAATTTTTTTTTATAAAGATATACTTTATTTTTATAAGTATATCACAGACGACACAAAGGTGAACAACCTGATAAAATTTCTAAATAATATTATGAATTTAACAAAAACCTATCACAGATTATTCAGTGAATAATTTACATTTCATTAAGAACTATCATTTGATTTTTTGATTTTTTTTCCGCATTCAATTTTTTTTTTATTGTTTTTTTTATATACATACATATACTTTATAGTAACACAGTCAACCCTGTTCGTCACAGTTTTTTATAATTACTCGCTAAAATGTAATATTAAAAGTATATTAATGAATGAATGCACTAATATTTATGTTATATGAATTTAAGGCGTAATTACTATATAAGTAAGCCGCCTACCAAAACCAATAACAACACAATAATGGAAATGAAAACAAGTGTAGAAGCACTCCTTGCTTGAATTTAATTGTATTATTTCACTTTTTTTATATCTTATAAAACTTACTGACAATTAGTATGTTTACAGTTTGCTGAATGTGGTACTGTCTTTATTTAAATGATAACTTTTGTCCGAATAGTATTCGTTTGGACGAACAGTTTGATAGATTTTTTGGGGTACTTTTGGTGTTGATGCTCATTAGCATTTTTGACCAACTGTTTGATAACTCATTTTGTTTGGCCATATTCATTCATAACATATGAAATACCACTTGCTTATTATTCAAATGAATGTTTTCTTAATTTGAAAATTAAATCACATAAATTTAAACAAAGTGAATAAATCTACAGAACTTCAACTCATACAGCTATTCACAGGATCAACATGTTGGGGTCATTATCAAAGCATCTTTAAAATTGGAAATAAGACATGCATTACATTTAAATTATTGTTCTTCGTGGTATTGTTTTGTATTCAATGTAAATTTTATTTACTTTTCATTACTAAAACAGTACATGTGTTAACCGTTTTTATTTTATTTTAAAATGCCAATTATATTTTAATTTGATAAAAACATCCAGAACTGTTTGATAAATATCTGAAGTTGAAACAAGAATTGTTGTAATGGAAATTCAGCTCAGTCTAAGGCAGTGTCACTTCGAGCAAGCTGTTTCACTAAAGCAACTCTGTCGAGTTAGCTTGATGCAAGAAATTGGTTAACTTAAATAAATTTTAATTATAGTAGTGTCTTTAACTGACTATATTTTATTTATTTTTCATGAAATTTATTAGAGTGTTTATAAGTTTACCATAATCAGGGTATGAATATTTATCTTTGATAAGACATTGTCATAGACAAGGTCTGTTTTGCTATTATCTTTGATAAAACAATGTTATAAACAATGCCTGTTTTGGTGGAAGAAATCGGCATTATGAAAGAAACAAGTGTATAATCTAAATTAAAAGTTTATATTTCAATAGAATTTAGAAACTACAGAAAATTGAGAGATATTCCAGCCTTTACTGCATCCTTATCAGCTTCTCGGAAGATTAATGCCAAAGATGTAGTGAAGTTTGACAAAGTTTGGACTAACAATGGAAATCACTATGATCCTAACACGGGAATTTTCATAGCTCCAAGAGAAGGGCTGTACCATGTTTCAACTACAGTCATGTCAGTATCTGGAAAAACTGTTTATGTTCACATTTGGCAGAATGAGATAAAGACAGTTGGGTTGTTTCCTGGTACTGGCTACAGCGAAGCTACTGCTAACTTGGTGTTACATTTAAAGAAAGGGGACAAATTAACAGTGAAGGGTGGTGGCGGTCATCCTGATCTGTTCAGCAGTACTGAATACTACTGTTTGTTCTCTGCTTATCTTATAGCATAATAAATACACTTAAAAATAATAACATTAATTCATTTTGATTTCCCATGCAAAAGTTTTATGTTTAAAATGAGACATTTTGCATAACAATATGTTCACTTCTAGATGCCCTTGTGTGTATGGGGTCGTTGGGTTGCTGGATCATTCGTGTATACCAAATACGTCCTTTTATTAATAGGCAAATTCTCAGCTATACTGTTCATTAGTTTTTTGATATATCTGTCTTCATGAGTGTAGTTTTAGTGTTACGTTTGGAGGACGTGTTTTCAATAAAACAAAACACGACATTCCTATGGGAAGCAACTGTGATCCTCTTCTTGCCGACTTGTTCTTTCATTCATTTGAAGCCTATTTTATACAGAAGCTTCTTAGGAGGAATGAAAAGAAGCTAGCATTTTCCTTAAACTTCTCTTTCGCTATATATATTATTTCCTCTCACTAAGTAGTTCAAACTTTTAGGACTTTGCTGAACATATATATCCCATCGAACTTTAAATAAAGGATACCATTGATACAGATAAGGCTGCTTCGTATATTGACTTACATCTAGAAATTAACAATAGGGTTAAGAACAAAACTTTACTACAAAAGAGATGATTTGGGTTTCTTATCATGATTTTCACGATAGAGGGTTGCTGCTTACACGCAAATTATTACTTGTCTCATACAATGTTCATATGAGTAAGAAGTGGACAAATCATCAAGTAGCTAGAATTTAAAGATGTGCCGTAATTCATGATTTGTACCTATTTGGAAACAAAAATTGTAGAAATTTCAGTGGCTGAAAATAAGTCCATTGGAAAAAAAAACCCTCCTAAATGGTTAAACTCTGTGAAAAATAAAGTACAAAAATACCGAACTCCAAGGAAAATTCAAATAGGAAAGTCCCTTATCAAATGGCAAAATCAAAAGCTCAAACACATCAAACGAATGGAAAACAACTGTCATATTCCTGACTAGGTACTTGTGTAGAAAATGGTGGATTTAACCTGGTTTTGAAGCTAGCTAAACCTCTCACTTGTATGACAGTCGCATAAAATTCCAATATATTGACAATGATGTGTGAACCAAACTAAAAAAGTCAAAATAAGAGGTACAGCAGTCAACATGGTCTTATAATCTTAATCACTATAAAACAAATTAATATGCCACCAAAATGACATATACACAAAGCACATACTGTGACTTCAACCTTTGTCATGGAAAAAGAAATGTGGTGTATACGTCAATTAGACAGCAACTTAAAAAACACATAAAAAATAAATTAATATTTAAAAGTCAACATATAATCCATTTCAATTACCAATTATGTCATAGTTAATATACAGTTGACTCAGTGATCACTTTGGCTCCTTATTACAACAATTGTGTTGCCGTTCATGAGGAGGACCATGCCATTATGCATAAATCAGTGTACTTTTATTATCTTACTTAAGGTGTAAGTTCCTGAGTTCATTGTCAAAAATCTTTCAGAAACTGTAAAGATAAAAATCTCCTTCGGTTCTTTGATTTATAGTATTTTAATGGATTTCTGATTTCACTTATACCATCTTACTCTGTCCAAGTTTGATCTATTTAAAATAAAAGCAATAATTCAAGCGACACTTAATTAGTATGACCTGTTCTTCACATATTTGCGTTATTTTAAGCAATACTTTGTTACTGAAAGACACATGGACAGGCTTTCTCAAATTATTAGACAGCTGGTTCAGAATACTAGTTTTTCTACTGTGGATTTTTAAAAGTTTTTTCATTAATTTGTATGCCAATATAACAATAAGAATATGTGGTTTAATTGGCCATGAGACAATACTCCACTAGAGACCAACTGACGTAAAAGGTTAGCAGCTATAGGTCACCGTACGGCCTTCAACAATTAGCAAAACCCATACCGCATAGCAAGCTATAAACGGCAATTTTGTTAGGAGGTTTGATCCAACATTACAATAATCAGAGACTCGTGAAGAGTGCAGAAAATGACAAATACAGAGTTTTAGTCTGTTTATAAAATAATTAGGAGTCCATTAATATTCTCAATGCATGAAAAAACTAAGCAAAAAAATACTTTTGTTCAGTTTTTCAACCCACATTTGAAGGAGAAAAGTGATTTTGAAAACAAAACTGTTTGCGGCAAATAATACAAGATGAAAAAAAAACTACCAATTGGTTCGTTGAGAACCAAGCTTAACGACAAACGATATAACATCAAGAAAAGCAATAACAGCAACAAAAGCATTATTCCTTTGCGTTTGGTTTTGTTTAGTGCATATAATAATTTTGTATAATGAATTGCTACAACGTATTCGTCCTTTTTCATTTTAATTTGCTCATTGTATATTTTTCTATTTTTCATGCGAAAACATTCGTACAAATCCTACATATTGAGTATGTGTCTCCAATTTAGTATTCTACTACGGAACTGTCGTGTCCAATCAGGATTTCTTTAAGAGAGGGTTGCTAAAAAAAAAGAAACTACAAATGGTAAATGAGAAGTAATCTCTGTACAAGAGAGGCGAAAGACACCAGAGGGACTAAAAGTTTTCGGTTTTGGTTGTTCGTGATGACAGATGACAACATATATGTTCAATATGTTCAATTCGTCATACATGTAATCTTTTTTTTTATTGTTCTTGTGTTGTACCGTTACATCACTGTCCCAGATTCTTTATGTGCCTGTCCCAAGAAGCCTGTAGTTCAATGGTTGTCGTTGGTTCATAACTGTCATATTTATTTTATCGTAAATTGTTTTTCATGTCGGTGCCATGTATAGCCGACTATATTGTATGAATTATTTTCTCATCTTTGAAGGCTGTACGGTTGCCCATAATTGCTTACATCCACTTCATTTGCACTTTTGTGGATAGTTGTCTCATTAGCAATCATACCACATCTCCTTATTTTTATATTATTCTTAATCTTTCCAATGTTGTTAATTTATCACTGAATTTTTACTCTTCACGATTTGGCCCCACTAGTGAAACAGAAACTACATACCTTTCTGGAGCACCTAAGTTCACCTTCAGTGTGGTAATTATTGCTTAAAAAAGAGAGGCGAAAGATACCAAAAGGACATTCAAACTCATAAGTTGAAATAAAGTGACAACGCCATGGTTAAAAAACAAACAGATAAACAACAGTACACAAAACATAACATAGACTAAAGACCGAGCAACCTGAACCCCACCAAAACCTAGGGGTGATATCAGGTGCTCCTGAAGGGTAAGCAGATCCTGCTCCACATGTGGCACCCGTCGTGTTGCTAATATCAATACAAACCCGTTAATAAGTCTTTCTGTGAAGAATTCCATGTATGTTTTTTTACTGTTTTTTTTTCTTTTTATAAGATTTTAAACCCTTTGTTGTAAATGTGCACACTGTTGGTTCCCAAGTGTGGATTTAATGTCAGTTTTGTATTTTGAGAGTTTAAGATAGGATATTATGTATTTATTTATAGTTTCGGTTACTTTCAAATGTACAAAAAGCGTACGTTTCACTTTAAGTTATTAACTGCTTTATAAATGTCAATATGGCGCAACTTCGTCATGTACTGTTCGAAACCCAGCCGTTTGGTAAATATTCTAAGTATGGATCCAATAAATACACAAAAAGCATTAGCTAAAAGAATAATATGCTTTATCTTAATAGATTTACCTATTTTCTTACGAAGTAAGGTCATTTCGAGTCGAGGACTCATTTGTTTTTCTGTCAGCGTTTGACGTTTCATTTCTGTTCCTGCTTTGAATATTTACCTCCGGTATTTTCGAATAAATACAAGAGCAATGTTATGTTCAGATGTTTTTGCTGTTAACACTTTGGCGAGTGCAAAGACCCCGGGTGGTTCCTTATTTAGAGGTAAGAAGCAGCGGAGATAGCTGTATGCCTCGCATGGTCTTAATTGTTTACCATACAAGTATTGTTTTGCATTTCCATATTCTAGGTAAAAACACATGCTATATTTATATTTAAATAAGTTCCACCTATCTATGCAAATTTACATGGCAACTTAAAATAGAAGCATATCTTTTGAATACCTTGGAAATTACATGTAACAATTATTCCGATAGTTTATTCTCTACATTGTTTCATTGTGCCGTGATAAATATATTATTTTCTACAAAGGATTATTTATAAACGCTTCCAATATTTACTGTGGAGAATATACATTATACTGTAATAAATAGCAAATTTTGGACAATGCAGGAGTGCAGTTAGCTCCTCAAAAGTTGAAATATTTGTAAAGGAGGCGCATTTAGCTTCCGAAAAATAATAATGAAATATTTATAAAGGAGGTACATTTAGCTTCCTAATGATAATAATAAAAATATTCATAAAGGAGGTGCATTTAACTTCCTAGCAATTATCTATTAGAAATAGTAGGATCACAGCTCCAAATGTTGTCAGGGGGGAAGGAATACAATTTTTTCACAGGAGGGAACTATTCGTTTCAAAACGGAACACTTTACTAAAGGTCTGCATGACCAATCAATAGTGTATGAGGTTCTCATACAGACACCAGCTTCCTTGTAAAAGGCATTTAATCAAATTTCATGGTTCGAATGTTGCAGAAAGAATGTTGGGAACAAATATGAAGTAAGACAGGTAATCGCGGGTGAAGACAGGAAACGTCAGGAAATTACTGAAACCTTGCTGGTATGCAGGACGCAAAATCAGTATGTGACTCATTCTGAGTGGAAATCTGGATTAGATGAGTTGCGAAAATAACAACAGGTTGCAATTGAAGAGGTAAAACAAGGACAGAAGGAAATATTATTTGTCATAAAATCTGAAAAAAGGGAAATGGTAACTTTATCTTGGGGATACCAGAATAAAAAATTTGGCAAAAAATCAGCAAATGATAACCCAGTTACTTGTTTTTCCTGTAATAAAGAGGGGCACATAAGTAGAAACTGTCCCTTCAAAAGAGATTGGGATAGAAGATGGGAAAGTAGAGATCAGCCACATTTGGCTATTCCAAATCAGACGAATAAGTTAAACTGCAGTAGGCTGGGTCTGTTG